ATCCACCTTCCCAGTCCTTTCTCCCAGCCATGAGTCTCTGGCCATTTACAAAGGCAATGATAAGACAGGGAGATGGTCAGGAATTTGCTGATTTTGGGAACCCAGTGAGACCTAAACCAGCACTAATCCGTCCTGTGGTGAAGCTGAAAGTGGTTTGCCTGTTCTGCTTAGATACAACCAATAATATTCACATATTTTATGGTGGCTGGAACAGCTGCATCTTTCTAGAAACTCATATCAGGAGAGATAAAAGCTGGAGCAATTCAAAGTTAGTCAGACAGGGCACGTTTTCAGTTCAGGGTGATTGTAAAATACAGGGCACCCAGTGTGGTTTTAAGTACATGGGAAGTGCATCACTAAGTGGTGACTAAACTCTGACACTGCAGCAGAGACAATTCAGAAGACAAGCAGTTCAGGTTATCACTGTGATTTACAGCACTGGTCAGAACAAGCTGATAGCAGGTGTTAAAATTAAACTATATAGATAAGATTTAGCAATGTGCTTCACAAATGTCTTGCAAGCTACTGGAAAGTGGTATTTAAGAGCTGCTTGTGTTACTATTTTGCACATCCTTGCTTTGTGAGAGTTAACTCTGAATCTAGGAAAGAATGATAACCTTATGCAATAACTGCAAACGTTGTTTCAATGCCTTTATACAGTGCTTCTGTATAAAATTTCAGGCACAAATTCTACATTTAACTCCTCAAAAGGTTCCTTGCTCTGTGTGAATCCTGTTCTCTAACAGCCCATCCAGTAACCTCATGTGGAAAGATGACTTTTGTTCAGCAACCAGATGGCTAAAATGCAAAGAGGAAGATCTCCTTGCTCTCTTTCTTTTCTCTTTTGTGGGCCATACAAAAAAATTACCCTTCAATTTGAAAACCTAGTTCTCAGTTCTGGCTGCATTTAGTGGCATCACCACCAATTTTCTGTAGCATTAACTGACTCTAGAAAGATATGTCAGCATAGAACACTTAGAGCTGATACTGAAACACGATGCTGAATTAATGCTCCATTAATAAAGGTAAGCAGGAGGATGATCTTTTGTTGCACTTCAGAATACCCTGGGCAAACTCTGAGAAGGCAAAGTCTTTTTCTTAAAGCTCAAACAGCTCAAGATGCCTTCAAGACAAGAAATAAGCAGCAGGCAAATGAGTGTTGCTTTCCCAGTTCCAACCAGACTCCCTGCATGCTGCCAGAGATGGTTTGTGACCTCTGGCACTCCTTTCAATGGGCTTCAGGAGCCAATATTAGCACAGGCTGCTCTGAGAGTGCCTTGGATACTATCTGTGTCCATGGAATTGGTCAGTGTGAGGCTGGCAGGGTGGCAGTGACTTGCAGGGGTTTGTTTAGCATTCCTTGGGACTGCAGAAGGTCAGCTCAGCACTCCCATGACTCACTGCACTTCACAACACTTATGTTTTGGCTGTGGGTTTTCCTTAAAACCCATTCCTGGCCAGTAAAGGGGGCACAGATTAAAAGGAGGGCACACTGGTGCTGATTAGGAGTGCTCTGTGACCCCCTGGGGAGAGGCAGAAGGGATCTGCCATCAGAGACTAAAAATTGGTCTGAATTTATCTCTACAGTAAGCCAGTGGTCTGGGGAAAAAAAAAATATCTTGCTCAGGGTAACAGATTAAAAAACTACAGTAAAGTAAAAAACTATCTGCTTTTGGGTGTAAGACTTTCAGTCTTTTAAACTGCACCCTCACCCCAAGAAAACACCAAGTTTTCTATTTTCTTACTTTTTACTATATCAGGGGCTCATAGCTTTCTTTTTTTCCCATTTAACTCTAAAATTAATATCTTGACTTTAGTTGTTTTTAAACAAACAAACAAACAAACAGTTCTTTGTGTCCTTGGAGCCAGGAAGGTTGTAGAACCAATGCAGATTTTTTTTTCCCTGTGTTCACATCTCAGGTTTTTTCTCTTCCCTACCTGTATATTCCTTAGTTCTTTAGGAATTTCATCACAGTGATGTGGAAATGGTCTTAGGGACATAGTTTAATCGTGGACTTGGAAGTGCTGGGTTGGACTAAATGATCTTAGAGGCCTTTTCCAGCCTAAATGATTTTATGATTCTAGGAAATTCCAAGTGGTTTCATGATGTTTGACCTTCCTGTAGGAATACAAGCTATTAGTCCCCTATCCTGCCAACCCCAGTGTGTGGTTAGATTGCAATGTGACACCTGTCCCCTGGGCCTGCTGTGTCACAGGGGTGTTCTAAACACCCCCAAACTTTGCTGTGGGAAGTGAAGGAAAAAGAGGAAGGTCAAGCACTGATAAACCCAACATTTCCAAAAGCCTTGTGGAGGAGACAGTGATTCAAAGCATCCTGGTTAACTCCCCACTGGGAGGGAGCAAAGCCTGGGCTCTGTCTCCTCTTTAACTGGTGCCAGTTGGAACTCTGCTGTTAATTGTAATGTTTGATCCCCACCCGTGGAGTTTGGTGTTTGACAAACTCTAAAATGGCCGAACCAAGATACAATTACGCAGGACTAATGTGAATTTTGGTGTGGGTTTTTGTTGGGTTTTTTTTGTTGTTGTTGTTAAAGTACATCGTAAAATGTTGTTCTTCAAATCTAAACTGCTCCCTGTGGGGCTTCACTGCCCCCTCTCTTTCCAACACGGGGCTGGAGTTGTGCAGCTCCCGGGCACTGAGTGACACGACAATCCCAGGAGAAAGTGCTTTCCAGGTCGGGGGCCGGTCCCTGCATTTCAAGCGAGAGCCGCCCGACCCACCCACGTCATTTTGTGCTGAGATCACTCCTGGTTCTGCCGGAGTGATCCTCTTTCCTTCCTCCTGAGCTGCTGGAACACAGGTGAGATTATCACTGTAAAGCATTCCCTTCGTTTTGGGGTGAAAAGCTAAAAAAACCCCTTAATCCCAGTCCACGTCTGTGCTCCTGCCTGACATGTGATTAAACCTGGGACTGGTGATGTGTGCGTTTTGAAAACACTGGATTTAAGGCACAAGTGATGAACTGCAGCATTGGAAATATATCCCAGCAATTCCAGGAGAAAACAGCTCTCACACCAAGGGATGCAAGTGCAGAAGAAGCGTTCACCAGCAGCCAGATCCAAGTAAAATTAAATCCAAAGTGGCAATAGCCCAGGATGAAACTTGATGCTAATTGTACATAAATAGCAGAGGGACTGTCATATGACAGGCTGTGATCAATAAAACATTCCTGGTGGGACTAATCTGCATGTCAGGTGTCCTTACTGGGAAGGAGTGTTGGCACTGCTGTTGTACCTCGCTGTCTCCTGGCTCTGCTGTTGATTTAAGAGTTGTTAGGGATTTATTCCTCACATAAAATTAATTTCTTTTCGCCAAAACAAAGATCTGGACCGAGCAAATGAATTGAACATTTTTATGCAGATTCTAGACACCATATCTATAGTTTTGCTCAAGTGATTTCTGGGCAGAAGTGCATTTTTTTTTGAGCAAAATTGACTTTTTTTCTCCTAATAAGAAATTTAAGATCTCTTGGTGGTCACTGGAACACTTGGAAAAACAGAGCTCAGCCTTGGTAGATACTATTAATGCTTTTTTTTCTTTGCACAGTGTCACATGTCTGGAATTGTTTTAAGAAACAAATGTTTGGTAGATAAGATTTTTTTTTTTCAACATGGAACAATTTGGTGCTTTTTGTGATTGCACCACAAATACATTAAGAATTTATTTGCTGATTTTTTTTTTAATAGCCCAATTTCTAATTGTTTGCAGCTACAATTATTCCTGAAATTTGACATGGAGGGCTTTTTTTATTATTAAAATTGTGTAGAGCTACATTAAAAAAGAAGTGTTTGTGGTGGCTTCAGAGGAAACAGTAGAACAAGGGTGAAGAGAAAAGGTATGTTAATGCCTAGAGAATGCCAGATGTGTGATTTCATTCAAATGAAGAGGAGGAACTAACCTAAATATAAGGTACCAGGAAAGTGGGGAACTGAACTGGAGCCATAAAATATTCTGATAAAGAAAACTTGGTGCTTGTGAGTATTTAAATGTGAGAGTATCAGTGAGTGAAGTCAGTCTAGTCAGATTTATTTTTAAATAAATACTGGAATTTTTTTCCATGATTTTCCAACAACCAAGTTAAAATCTTAGTTTCCAAGTGCTTGGAGGGCCACAGAATTGACTGAAAACTGGGACATTATGGAAGGAGGCTGCAGGAATTCTCCTCCAACTTGATAATTTGGTAATTTTAAAACTTCATTTTAGTTCACTACACTGAAGAATCACAAATATCTACAGGAGATGAGCTTTATGAAGGGGTGCCCCTCCATATGACAATTCTGGATCACTCTGCTCTACCTGGACTTTGGAGGATGTTTTTTGGAGATTTTTAGGGTTGCTGTAGACATCCAGTTCCCAGCTGACAGGTTTGCATCCAATTCTGGCAGGAGGCAAAAGTCTCCAGTAATTAGGACAGAGTAAGGCAGGAGATGGCATGGTGTTCTCTCAGAATATCCTGTATTTTTCCTCTCTTCCCTGTTCTTGTTTCCCCTATTCCACAAGTGCCAGGTGAGGCTCCTTTGGAACAGAGCACTGATGGAAGTCCCTGAAACCTGGAGCAGCTGCAGTGGCCCTTTAGCACTTGCAGAAGGGCACAAATAGGGCTTGAAGGGAACTCTGATTTGGGCCAGGCAAGAATTTATCTGGGATTGGAGGAATCCTCATGGAATTATCCAGGTAAATATCTAACTACTGAAGAAAATCTTCTTTTCTTGTTTATACCACCCTTTGTAATTTTCACTGCAAAGTCCCTTATTTAAAACTAAATTTACTCTACCTTTTCTTAGACCCAGTTTCCATTTGGAATCCTGAAGTAGCAAAAGCAAGAAAATCTGTTTCTTTTTCTTTCTTTCTTTCTTTTTATTTATTTATTTATTTATTTCAGGCAATGCTGCAGTGTTTGCCCTGGCTCTGTGAGGAACATCTCAGGGCACAGTGCCCCCCCATCAGGCACCATTCCCAACTTCTTCCTCATCTAACCAAAGAATCCCTGAGCCCTATTTCCTTATTTCCCTTCTCTCCACAGCCCACTTTCCTTTCCCACCTTCTCCCATTGCTGTCCTGACGTTCTCTTGCCTGTGATATTTATATAGTTCTTCGCTGGAAATGGATTTCTTCTGGAATTTCTTCTGGGAATTGTGTTACACTCCAAGGTGACTTTTCCCTCTCATTACAGCTGTGCTCTCTCTGCTCTCAGCCACCAAAGTCTTGGCTCTCCCCTGCCGGTGTCATATGATGCATTTTTCTTCTTAAACAAGGAATTTCCTTGAAACAAATTGTTATTATTGGCCTTAAATGCCTGACAGTTCCTGGTGATGTCACTTTGGGGTCCAGCACTTTCATCCTGGCATGAAATCCTGACATAATTCTGAAAGAGGGATACAGATTAAATTACTGTAATTTGCCTTTTAAACTTTTCATGTGATAACCTGGCTGGAACTGAGGCAATGTTTTGTATTTTTATTGCCTGATTTATGCAGGTTCTTGCCTCATGTTTGATTCAGGTGTTTGTGTGGTGCTGGAAGATGTGAAAGCCTCTCAACATGTTTATTTGCACAGCTTTTTGAGCTTCTGTTTCAGCATTATTAATACTCCTCTAGCAAGAAAACCTCTTTCTAAAGGCTCAGAGGTTCTATTTCATTTGGGTAAATGAAATATATATAACGTTTAACATATAACATTTCACATCATCTCCAAAGTGCAGCAAGAATGTTTTTCTGGGGTAATTTTCCCCCTTCTTTCTTTAGGAACTGTCGTGATGAAGGAATTATGTCAAGTCTCTGCAGCTCAGCCTCAGTCCACTGCATAAACTCCCCTGTGCTATTGGAGAGGGAGGGTTGGTACCTGAATTACAGGGGTTTTTTTCCTCTCTGAAAGATTGGTTGACTTTACAAATTTCAGTAATATTTATTTAACTGGTTTAAGGAGAGCGTTGGGGTTTGTACCTTAGACAAGTGACATTTTAACTTGGTCCCACTGCAGCCCAAACATAAATAATATTTAGAGATCAAAACTACATTAACTCCATCCTGAAATGACTTGTGTGAGTACTCACTTCTTCACATTAATATTGCATTGTTTGGTTAACCTGTTTTGTCTCCTTTAATTTCTTTGTCTGGACAGCAGGACACAGTGAAGAACGTTTTAGTGGAGTTATTGAAGGTGATGGACCTGACTCATAAGGACTGAAACTTGTGAGTAATCATCATCTTTGTAAAAGTGAGGCCCAACAGAATTGTCCCACCTTATTTCAGCATCTAGGAGAGGTGAGAATCTGTGCAGGAACCTGGGATCCAACAGTGATAACACTCCATGCAGTGGAAAAGAATTCCACGAGATCCAGACAGACTTTTTTGGGGTGTGTTTCTTGTCCAGGCCACTGGTGTGGGTGTGCCTCTCCCATGGCCTTTTATTGCCTGCACTGTGAACTTCTCAAGGCAAGAACAGGGGGTTTGGAAACTGCCTGGAATGTTGTGGATACTACTGGAAAAAACCGAGGGGGTGGTAAAAAAGGATTTCATGGGTTTTAGCGTGAGGGAAATTTCTTACCAAATTTGCTGTGGGAAGTGCTGACTGATTTGAAACCTGCTTGTGTTTGACCTGGGATTTGAGTGTGTTAAAACTTAAAAAAAAAAAAGGTGACATGCTGCTGAATTCACCCTTCAGGGGAAATGACTGGGAGGTTGGGGCCTGTTGCCTAACAAAGAAAGAATTAGAGCACAATAAAATCCTGAACATCTTCCCCTTGGGCCTTGGGGCTCCAAATCCTGGGGGAAGGTTTGTTTTTTGCTGAGTGATGGGTGTGATGATGTTGCATTCAGTGCTCAGGGACCAGCTGTTAGTGCTAACCCTGGGATGGGGCTGGGAAGTGGAGGGGAATCCAGAATCCTGAGGACCTTCTGGCTCCTCTCTGGCTTTAAAAAGTATTTAGAGAAGCACCTTTCCTGCAGCAGTGAGGAAGGCAAGTAGCATCCTGCTTCTTGGGGTGAGCTGTAACAGCAGGCAAGGCTGGAGCTGTGGTTCTGGGAATGCTCTTGGAGCACGTGGGATGTGGGGCCTTATTTTTGCTTGTGCTGCCTTTGACCACATCCATTTTTTCAGGTAAAGCAGCCTTGGGATTTTCTCTATCCTCTCCTCTCTAGAACACATGATTCACTGGTCGTTTTTAAAGTAGGTTAAGGGGTTGTCTGCTGCTTAAACATCAAAGTAATGTTGTGACCCAGGAGATAAAGTGAGTTTTGAGGCAATTGTGTGATTCCATGTATTTCTTGTGGGATGGATGTACTCGGTCTGATGGGCCTCTTGGATCCTCCTGCTCTGGTAAATGATCTGTTCTAAGGTTTTGCCACCCAGCTTTAAATGTTGCTGCTTGTTCATATTATGCTGCAGTTCATTTATTTTGGTCTCTTGCTTGACTGGGACTGCAGCACAGTTCTGACACAACTGGTTGCATCTCAGCCAGGAGAAGAAAAAAAGTGTTTTCAGATGTCATCAACTACCACCTGAGTTCAAACAAACCTTAACTCACAGTCCTCAAGTGCTGTTATTTTTGACAAAATAGATGGGATTTGTTGTTAGCTCTTCATTTATACACAAGTCTATGGTGAGAGAAAGTGAATTTATGTGCACATCACCTCTAAATCCTTCTGGTTTAGTTCTTTTTGAACAACAGGGAAAAAGATACAAGGGAATAAAGTCCAGGGGAGGGGAAAAAACACTGATGGCATGAGGTATCCATTATACATAGATATGACTGTATTAACTGCTTAATGGTTTACTTTCTCTGAGATTCTGAAAGCTGGCCAGCAAACCTAATGAGAAATTTCCTTTTCACGTTGAGAACTGGAGCACATGTTGTTTATAAACATATTTTATATGAGCTGTCGGTCCTCTCCAGGTTGTTTTGCCAGTCCCGGTTTTTGCATGGCTGGAGTTCTCTTGTTCTAACAGATAGGTCACCTCTGAGATGACTAATGGCACAGAATATTAGAGTGTTTTTTGCCCTGAACAGCCAAGGACAAACCAAAACAAAAGAATTATGAGCAGTCACACCCAGTGGTGCATATTTGTGATCACTACATGCAGGGCACCGCTCTGAAGAATACACTTGGAGTCAGTGTGTTTTTTACAACTTCAGCACTTCTTACTGTGACCAGAACTGCATTTGAATGTTTTAATATTTCCCATTTCTAATATCTTTTAGTTAAACACCGGTTAAAGGGACATATTCACACAAGAAATTCCACTGGGGTTCCAGAGACTGCACCCCTAAGCAAGGATATTTGTTTAAATGGTCACTTGGAGGTTGGGTCCTTCTGTTATATGATATAAGGTTATGAGGTACAAGAGTTCCTCACTCAGGTGCTGAGCATCCTTGTTTCTCCATGAAAAAAATACTAACCAGAGATTTAATTTATTAGGTTTGCAAAAAACAAAAAAAAAAGTATATTAATACATCGTGGAGTGTACTAAACTTTAATGCTGCAATTTAGAATTGGGGGACTGTTTTAAAGTCTGGTGAGTGTGGGATCTCACACTGGCCATAGTGGGACCCTATTTCAGAGTTCAAACCTTGACATCCCTTCTTTAAAAAGAACCTTTTTTTTCCTCCTGTTTGATTTTTGTCCCAGGCCCAAGTAAAAGTAGCGTTCACTGGTCACACTTTGAGATGTGTTTAAGCACAGAGAGGCACCTCAGAGTTTTCAGAACCACTTCATATTTAGGATGTTTTCCCACAGCCAAGCCTCTTTGTGCCACATAAAACAAGCCCTGCTGAAAGTGGTGGATTCAAGTGCTTTATACCATTGACTCTCCCTCTTTGACTGAAGAGCTGGAGGCTGTTAGAACTTGTCTCACTTTCAGCTCAGTAATTCAGTGTTTACTTCCCCTGGTCTCCAGGATCCTGAGGAGGAAGCACATACTATGTTTGTAATTTGAGTACCACTCTCTAGCCCTGCTCTTTTTATCAAGACTGACAAGAAAACAGCTTTAGATCGTGGAGGAGCTCTCAAATTTATTTAGGATGCCGTGCAGGGAGACTCCCTGCCTTTATTTAACGGCATTTGGAGTTTCTGAACACCAAAATAAATTATTTGCAGGGAAAAAAAATGAAATCTGGCTGTGATAAATGTGAACCTGAGTTATGTTTAGAATGATGACAGCTCATTTTATTCAGTGTAGAGATCATGTTTCTTTAATTTAAATTTTTGACAGATTTTTTTTTAGGATGTGACCTTTTATGTTTGCCATTACTTAAACAAGACAGCTCACTGCTGATGAGGAAAACTGAAGGCTCTGATTTACAATTTGCTCACTGCTCCATTGTTGCACTATCTTACATTTACAGGTGTTTAGCAAGAAGTTAAACACTTGAAATGAAAGATTGTTTATAGGAGTAAAGAAAATACCTGCAGAACTTCCCTTTCAGGTGTCTGTGGGTGTGCCTGACAGTTCACACATTTGCCAGATTCATCTCCATCAAGATAATTAATTACAGAGTTTTGATGAATTGTAGTGTGGCCAGAGATGGTAAGTCTTGGTAAATATTACCAAATTTGTGAGGGGTTTCATTGTTATTAGCCTCAAAGTATTAAGAGTTCACATTAAAGCTGCAGTTCCTTTCATGTTAATTTATTTATGCAATTGGAAACTAGTAAGAACTTAAACCCCTGAGAAGTTACCAGTTACCACCAACACAGTAAATACAGTGACGCCTTGTTTAAAGAATAATTCTAGCAGTGAGTCCAGTGGTGGGCACAAACAAAGGGACTTATTTTATAGGAAAAAGATTTTTGCAAAGAATCCTGTGTTATTTGAAACATGGCAGGTCTGTTCCAGATGCTTTACATTGTCCCTGATATTCCTGGATCTTGAAGTGAAAGAAATACAGGAATAAAACCTAATTCTCCCTATTTTTGGTTGATCTCCTGAAGGTGTGTGTGGAGTCAGCTCCATATGATCACGTTGCCTAGGAAATCGAGGGAGCAGCCTTGCTTTCCTAGGCCAGTCAATCCATTGTGAAAAAAGATTCCAGATCCATGAGCATTTTGCCCAAGTGAGGGACTGAGGATTGAACCTCAGGAGCAGCCAATGCTTTAAACGTTGCAGTGAAAAGGTTGTATCCAAGCGGCTTGTAGCCCAAATCTCAGTTATCCTGGCTTTTATATTCCCTGTCAGTGACAAAGAGGGAACACACACGGGCTGGAGGAAGGTAATTGTTGCAGATTAAAGCCCCGTGTGAATAAAAGAGCCATCAAAATTCTTTGTAGTTGCTTGGCGCGAGTTCTGATAACGCAGAGGCCTCTTTTATTATTATTTTAAAACACAGCCACGTACCACAGACTAAACAAAAGCCCCTCGAGACAATGGGGCCGGGCTGTGAGCAGGGAGTGTGTGATTGCTGTGCACAGCTGGAGCTGCCAGGTGAAAACCAGAGGCACCAGGGCTCCCTCAAACAGGGACATTCCCATTTCTACTTATTTTTTTCCTCTTTAACTTCATCTCATGTTTTAGCTGCAGATAAGCCTTTGGGGTTTTGCCACGTTTTAGATCTACCTGCTCCTCTTTTGCATACAGAGAAACAGGTTTTTTTGTTTTCTCTCGTCTGTCTCATTGGCAGGGATTAAAAAAACCCCCACAATTCCCCTGGTGCTGGGGTCGCTCTGCTCAAAGAGGAACAATCATGGAATTTATTTCTTGTAAAACTCACACTGAACAGCATTTTTGGATGTGTTGCATGTGAAGCCAACCCTGTGGTAAGTGTTAAGACCTGGAAAACAAGGCAGATGTTCATCACGTTCTTCAGGCTTGTGCTTAAAGGACATTTTCTTAGTCATATTTTTCCCTTGCCAGCCATCAAATATTCTGCTGCATTATTGCCTGTTACATTTAAATCCACCAACACTGCTTTCCACAGGTATTGATCCTCCTGTGCTCCCTGTTTTAGGCCCTCTTTGAAGTCACTGAGTGCTCTCAGTGCACACAAAAAATGCAACCAAATTAGGCTTCCACCTGCCCAGTCCCCAAGGAAACATCAACAGTTGGTGATGGGAAGAGGCCTCATTATTCAGAGATGATTACTTTTACTTTGATCTTTTTCAGTGCCTTTGCTGGCTTATTATCATCAGCATGATCACAAAATAAAATTCATTCAGGTTAATAATTCAGGTTGGTGGATGCTGCCACTGGTTCTGTGTGGATGGAGTTCACTGGGATTTGGAAGGTTTTAAGTTACCAAATGCTGAAACACAACTACTAAGACAGTATCAGCAACTGCTCCTAAGTGATAAAAAGCCTGAGCGTTATGCCAAAATATATAAATGCAAGATGTTCCCCCAACAAACTGTTGAAATAAAATGGCAATAAGAAAAATCTCTCAAAGAGAATTTTTAAAAGGAAATAACGAAAACATCAACTGGATTCGATTTTTCTGCTTGAATTTCTGCCAAAATCATTCGATTTTCTGTCATTTCCCTTCCTGTCTAATTTTTGATTCCGACAACCGTGGAATCTCCTGTTTTGTTTTTATTTTGCCACTGCAACTAAACCACCCAGCAGCCAAGGTCGTTGTAGAAACCCAAACTTTGAACAGAAACCGTGCCCTCCTGTGTTCGCTCATCCTCCTGTTTCTTGTCCCGTTTCTGTTTGCTGTGCCTGTTTCTGTTCCAGCCAGGAGTGTGTGTTTTGAATTATCTGCTCTCCTTATTTGAAGAGATCTGTCCCTGTACTCTGATTGCTCCTTGGTGAGTACCCATGCAGAGCCATTTTATTCAGGTTGTGTGATTTTTTTTTTCTTTCTCCAAACACTTGCAGCAATCACTGGTACAACTGAAACAGAAATTGGGTGAGAAAACTTGAAACTAGTCCAGAGCTGCTGCTTTAATTTTTGAACTGTGCATGTTCACAGATCAATTCTAGATTTAAAAAACATTTTCTGTAGCCATTGAGATTTATTTTCCCTGACACTTTTACTTTTGTTGCCCTTCTCTACCACTTCACCCATCTATAACTGACTGTTTTGGGTGGGTTAGAACTAGTTTTAGTTGCACCTGGCCTCCAGCTCTTCCTGCAGCTACATGAACTCCTGTTCCACTTTTTTCTTCGCTGGCAACAGGGATGGTCTTTGGGAATTCCCTTTTTATTCAGTGAGATCCCTGGTTAAATCTGAAAGCAGATGGGAGGGAATATCCCTTTCAGGTGGTTTCACAAAGACATGATTCCAAAAATCCATCATTTGCTGTAATTGTGAACCTGGGACAGAGGAGACAAATGTTTTGCACTTCCACTGCACCCACTGGGAACGTTACTGGCCTTTGTATGGCCAAGTACAACTGAGATGAGCTGGGGGAGTGGATCCTTTAGGGAAGTGGGATCTGCTTTTTTACACGGAGTGATTGCAAATGAAAGTATCTGTGTACATCACTCCTATTTAAAAACAGATTTGAAAATTGCTTTCCATTATGTTCTCTGAAATCTGCTGCTTTTCTCCATTACTAGAAGGAAAATTATGTTTATGGTGAGTGCTGAAAAGTGTGTTATTAGCTCTTTTCCTTCTCCATGGAAATTATTTGGCTTTTTACCCTCATCTGTGGGGTAGAACAACACTGTATGGTAATAATAATGATGACTTATTTATTCATCCTTGAGATGTAGTTCTTTCTGTTTGTTTTTAAGAAGTTATTGAGAAAATAAGCAGAGAAAATATACATATTTGTTACAATATAGTTTAAATATGGATGTTTGTCTACCGGTGTTAAACTAACACTTGGGAGGAGGAAACCTTGAAATGTAACTATTAAAAGATCAGAATTTGGAGATTTACACCAATTAGTGGAGTGTAAAGTTTAAAGTGGAGAGTTGCACTTGGATAGTGTTTGAAGGAATTTCGAATAGTTGAAATGACACCTGTTTTGGGCAATATTTTATACTGTCAGTTGTTATATGGAGTAGAAAGGACTATGGAATAGAGGCACAGAATAAGTCTTGAAAATCCCACACTAAAGATACTAAACAGCCCTGTGAGCATGTGCTGGTCCTTCACAGCCAAAATTTCACTTTGAGCACCTAAATTTACGTGGCTGCTCTTTTTTTCATCCGTGTCACTGCTCTCCAAGTGTCTGGGACAAGTGATGACAAGGGATTGTAAAAGCTGAATGAAGAGAATGCACCAAAAAAAAAAAAGCTGCTTCTGAAAGAGTTTTGTTTTTTAAGTGCTTGGAAATAACAGAAAGGTGTCCTGCGGGGTTGCTGGGCTTTATCAATCACTTGTAAACAGCCTTAAGCACTTGGTGCTGAGGAATCAGAGTATTTTTCTTTTTGGGCTATTTTTAAACACAAAAGATTCCTCTCTGTCTAGCAAAAAAAAAAACCACAACATTTTCAAGCTCCTAGATGTGTTAAAAGGAGAAAACATCAATCTACTGGTTACTGCCTGTGTATTAATCAATGCTGAACAGGTTATTTCCATAACAGGCATGTTTTATTCTTATTCTGTAGAGGAATAGCAGTAATATTTGTGAGTTTTCTTGAATCTGGGGATGTGTGTGAGGGTGAGGACTGGGTAGACAAGCTGTGATTCCCCATATCTCAGCTGGGGCCAGCAAAGTCAAATAAGGGAATGAGGGAGAGTGAGAAGTGGCTGATACTGCAGGCACTGCTGCCAACATGAAGCAGAGCAGCCCTGCTAAAGTATCCAGGAATTTGCTTTGCTGCATTTCAGATCCAGGATTCTGCAGCACTGGGAATTGGAGTGTCCAGGGCCTTAATCAGGATGTTTGGGGAGGAAAGGTGAGCCCCCTGTACCTGCTGAAGACATGCAATGGGAGCTTTTTTCTGGGTACTGTAATATGATTGACATATTCTACTTCCAAATTTCAGGGCTGAATCTTGGCTGCATTTATCCCAGTTATTCTTGTTTGACCTTCTGGAGCCTGGAGGAGGCAGCTTTTTGGCTCTTTGCCTTGTGTGTCAGGATTAGGAAAAACAGCATCTCCCAAACTCCTCGAGTTCTGGGTGGCTCAACAGAATATTTTAATCACAAGGAAACAGAAAAATCACTGAACCTGAATCGTTCTGTCATTAAAAACTGGGCTCTGAGAGCATTTTGGTGTGGTTTGTTTAGCTTGAAAGAGGACACTGAGAACTTCTTAGTGCTTGATACACTTTGAGGAAAAAGGTCTGGGAAGACAGATTGCATTCCTGAGAACTGTGGAAACAATTACATAATTAGGCTGTGTTTAATAATTGTTTACAAATAGGCCTTGTCTTACTTTCCAGAACTTGCTTCTGAATTGTTGGCTTGCAGGGTTGTTGTATCTGGTATAAAATAAATGGAGCTGAGCTCGACTTAGGTTTGGTGCTTTATTGTGCTCTAATTGATTCCCACTCCTAAAATGTTGAAACAAGAAGGTTTTCTGAGGTTTTTAAAATAAAACTGTAGGGACAAGTTTAGGAGGAAAAGCTGTGTGAATGACTTGCATTCATTGCTGACACTATATAAAAAAAAATCTATTTTTTGTTATTTCTAGTAGTCTTTGATAGCATTTATAATATATTCTGAGATATTAGTTTGTTATTTGAAAATGACACCTTTATTGTTTTATGGTAAAAAGCTTTCACACTTCAGCAGCCAATCATTTTCCCTTTCTCAGCTTGCTTTTTTTTCAACAATTCCCTCTTGCTTGCAGCAAACTTGGAGTGTTTCCTGTCTGAGGGAGAGGAATGGTGTGGAGAGTTGTCAGTCAGGAGAGCATCAGTGGGAAGTGGAGACGTTTAGGGATGGCTCCTGGAGCTGCAGCTTTGCAGCCCTGGGAATAATGAGTGGCAGGGTATCTGATCCAAGATAATGGATGTGCCAGAAATCCTGTCTGGACTGAAGCACAGAGGGTTCCCAGTTTGTGCACCTGCAATTAAATATAAAATTGGATCCTGTCTTTTCATTAAAAGAGGAGGCTGCAGCCCCATCTTATGTCAGAAGCTTGTGTCTGCTTCTGGGTGGAAGAAACATTTTCCCCGTGTTCTGCCACTGAACAGAAAAATCCAGAGGATGTGTAAAAGGAACTGCAAAAAGCAGATAAATATTTAGACTGACTCTGGCTGGGTTTGAAATGGGGTCAACAGGATCAGCCAACTACCACGTTAATGTGTTGAGTTCAATAACACACAAAAATTACTGTGCTAGAAAATTAAAAGCTGGTCTCCAAATAGCTCTTATGTATTCAGCATCAGGCAAGAAGGGGAAAAAATCCAAATTAAACAATGACTTGTTTCTCACCCAGAAAAGTTATTCCATGGCATTTTTGACTACAAACAACATGAGCTGATTTTTTGAGTCATCACCAAAGTACAAGCCTGTGTCTGCATGTGAGACTGGGTTTGGCCCCAGCTCCAAATTTCAGTAAATTACATATTAAATTGAGGTGTGGGGGGTTTATTTCTGAATTTATTGCCACATATTGAATTTCTGCTGTCTTTAAATTCTGTATCTTCAACTGGGAATTCTGTGACAGCAAGAAATAGATGAAAGGAAGAAGTTTGGGGACAACAGGTAATTAAGGAGACACAGACACCTTCCTGCCCCTCTTCAGGAAGCTCAGTCTCATCTGGTGTAATTTGGCTTTTTGAAACATTTTCCAGTACTTACAGGGTGAAAGATATTTTGGTTACCATATCTGGAAAGCACTGGGATGAAAATTACTCTGAAAAGCCCTTTTAAGTCCTTTGCAAGTGAAGTTTTTCTTTGTTGTATCACCAGAAAACGCTGTGTAAGGGAATATTTGCACCTGCTGTGTCTCCCGTAACTATCCCGAACTCAGCACTGGATTTTGTGTTCCTATTTTTAAAAGCCATCTTGCTAAACAGACATAGGGAATGTTGCCTTTGGAAGGGGAAGTGAGCAGCAGTGCAGCACTAGGGAAGCACCACAAATGTGGCTCCTTACATCAGCTGAGAGAGAGTGAGAGGAGGGAGATAAGAGGAGTGAATAAATCAGCATTTTGGGTGCAGGACATTGACTTTTTAAACTCTCCTAAAGTCTCTTTCATGTATGAATCACCTGAGGGGTAGCTGGAAGCATTTCAGAAAGAATTTATCCTTAAGATGGAATAGTTAAAGCAGAGGGAAAACACCCTTGGCTTGCAGGCTCTGAAATAAATGCCTGCAAAAATAGATGGCAAAGCAGGGATATTGCAGGGAATTGCAACCAGACTTGTGGGTCTGCTGCCAGCTTTGGAGGCCGTTTATAGAAGCTTGGCAGCCCTGCAGGAAAAAAGAGCCAAGGAGTTGTTACAGCTTTCGAGAAAGCAGGGAAGACAAAGAGGAGGAAAAGCCCTGCAAAGCTCCTGTTTGGACACTCTGTGTATGGTTACACTGAGGATGTTTGGGCAAAGAAAGGGAGGGAAAAAAAGAGTTACAACTTAGTGGTTCCTTCTCCCCTCAATCTTTCTTTAATAATTCAGCAGCAACGCACTGCAGGGCTTGTCTGTGCTTAAACCTGCCTGGTTTAATTAAGCTGGGCATTTAAATTGATGTTAGAATACCTGAGTGTGTGCAAGGATTTAGTGCTTTGTGTGAGTTTCTGCGCCCCTGTGAACTACAGAGCAGATTTAACCGAATTGATGAATATTGCCAAATGTATTTGGAGAGTCTAAATTACCAGCCTTTCACATTCTCTCACCCAGTGTGTGTGTGTGTGTGTAAATGTTCTGTTTTGGGAAGTGTGCCGTGCTGACAGTTCATTTGGGATTATTCATGGCTGTGGAGATTCATTCTGAAACTGTGTAAGCAGCAGGAAGTCTTGTTCTGTCTTGATCTTTGAGCCTTTTCTTGATTTATGTTGACTTCTGGGGAACCAGGCTGGAATTCCTGGGCAAAGGAACTGCTTGTATTTGACTTTATCTGTGTGCATGTAGAGCAAACCAATCTGGAATCTGTCATTGATTTCTCCCCCCCTCAGCATGAGACTGGCAAAATTGCAGATTCCTGCTTGGCAAAATGCTCATAATGATGTCAGAACACACAGGCACCCACCCCATTTATACAGATATTACAAAATGAAGGAAGTGGTGGCTACATTAAATGAAGTGGCTTTTTGGAGAGAAAAGCAATAATGAATCTAAAGAAATGATACAGAACTCCTCTAAAAGGATAATAAAAATATAAGAGGGTTGAAGCGCAGGGTATTTCAATGCTGTGATTTAAGAGCGTGAATCCATATAAGAATAAATATTTAGGGCTGGAAAGCTGTAGTTGCAGTGAATGTTATTGCTTGAGAGCAAATGTGGAGAACGTGAAAAAGTGCTCAGCACTTGTGGATCTTGTATTTACACACGAGGAGGGAGTTTTATTTGTAACAATATGGGGTGATTTTATGCCTGTTTGTAGTAATACACAGTAATGCACCCAGTGTTAACTAATACAAGGACATAATGCTTTATGCTGCAGATGCACAGCAGGATGTGCACCCAAAAATAGAGTAGGTGAAAGCAGCAGCAGCAAATTCCTTCATCTGGGTGGTATGAGCAGAGTTATATCAGTGTGCAGGTGAGGAGCAGATCTTCATCTCCTCCACATGAATGGGCTGATTTGACCCGAGGCCATTATTTGCTTTTGCTTGTTGTATATTTATTTAATGAGCGTTTCGGGAGGGAAATTGAGAGGAAAGCAGCTGTGAGAACTTGATTTTGTTTTCTAAAACTGTTCCAGGCCGGTCTGCCAGCCCCGTCAGAAATGATCAATCACCTCACCGGTGGTTTCCTTTAATCGCCGGTAGAGCTGCTCCAGAGGAGGTGTCTCATCCAGTGGAAAAGGCACCGTTCACTGCTTTGGGAAGCAGCTCCACGTTTTACTTCCCCACAAGGTAACTCCACACTCAGGCTGTCTCAGGACTTGGAGCAGACCTCAGCCTAGATCATGGAATGCAGAAAGCAGCTGTTTTGCCTATAAATAAAGCAGGAGCCTCTTCTCCTGCGAGGCTTTTTTCACAGATACGCTGTAGAAATGAGCTGTCACTTTAACTGCCGGTGCCCGAAGTCGAAGTATGTGGTAGTAGCAGGACTCACATTCTGAGGGGTGAGAGTCACTCTGCGGTCAGGTTTCAGCCTTATCGGTGTCACCTTATAGTGAAGCCACTCGTGCTGCAAGAGTTAAATCTGTCAGCCTTTCTGCTCCTAATCCCCGCAGTGCCAGAGGTTTAGAATTTGGGGAGAAAGCAAAACTCCACTGCACTCGGCCAAAAACATCTCCACGCACCAGTGATTGCTGTTTCAATCCGTTTGTCGTTCCAATCTTGTCGTAAAGGCTTAAATATTTTTTTTAATACAACTTAGCAGAGCATTTTACTGTGGGGAGAAATACCTGTTTGATCTCCTGGATTGATTTTTTTTTGGCTTCGTTTCGCGTTGTTTGTTTTGTGGTTTAATTTTGGTTCGTTCTGTGTGGTTTTTTTCCCCTTCTTTTCCATGTGATTCCAGCGGGAAGCAGCCGTAGGAATTGCACTGCTCTGTCAGCTGGCTCAGTCCCTGGTGACAGTCTCTCCAGGGTGGCACTGCCCAGCCCTTGGCACACACCAACACACCAGGTAACTTCCTGCAGCGGTGGCACCAATGGAATAATGGGAATATTTGTCAGAGTGGGCCAGTGGGGCAACAAAGGGGCAAAATCCACTGAGCATTTGCAGCACCCAGAGGTTCTTGCACCTCCTTAACGCACGTAATTGATTTAATTAGCCCCAAAACAAAGAGCTCCCACTTTCCATTCCCCTCCACTCTAATCCCCCGTTATCAGGCACGGAGCAGCCCGCACTTGGCCGCTCCTGCTGGTGGAAAACCAGCAGTTTTCCTCATCCCAAAACAAAAGCAGGAGCTCTGAATGGCTGCGGCGTTTGCTCGACTCCAGCCCAGCTCTGCCCCGGCCTCGCTGAACCTGAGCAAGCCGGGGCAGGAATAAATGCGGCGAAATTCCTGATAGACCCGCCCAGCGTGAGGGGGAGCAGCCCGACGCTCCCTTTTCCCTGCCGTCCCTCCAGCCCTGGGATTGCAGCGACTGCTGTCGGAGAGGGATGGGCAGCAGCCAGCCCCTGGAGCAGGGATCTGCCTCACGCTCTGCCCCAGCCTTTCCAGGGACTGGAGTTGGTGTCATCCCATCTCCTGATTGCTTGGCTTGAAGGGAGGGGAGAAGCTTTGAACCCTGAGCATTGCTGTCCCTTTTCCTGAGTGGCAGCTGGAGCAACTGCAGACTAAGGATTAGGGAAGTTCCTTTTAAAGGAGCTACTCCCCACCTTTGGGGATAAGGCACAACTCTTCCTCACAGGAGCTCTGTACCTGTTCAGAACTTCTCCCCCTGCCTTCATTCCGAGGTGTCAATGCCCCATCTGCCAATTCTAAAAATAAAGGGAGAAATATTTTAATTATATTTAATAGGCCTTGGCATCCTTGTACTTCCTTTGTGGTTTCTGAGATTTTCCATTCCCTTGGAGGAAAATTTGGGGCATTGGAAGTAGGCGACTTTTAAGGTCCCTTGCAATCCAAACTGGTTTATGATTCTGTTCCTGTGATTTCTCTGTCCAAAACTATAACCCAAATCTTCCTTCTCTGCCTTAAGAAAACCAACCAAGCAATTCACAGTTGTTGTTTTTCTCAATTAAAAAACCCCAAACAACAACCAAACAAAAATAAGCCCAACCCCACAAACTACACCAAAAGAAGTACTTTGACCACAGTGGCTGTTCACAGAGGCAGCTCTAGTTAGGTTTTAGTCCTAAATGTTATATTAGTAGCTAAAATTTTATATTAATAGCCAAAAAAAGTTTCTTTAAGCTTTTTTTTCTCAGTTTAGCCAATCATTTAGTTCTCAGAATGCAGCTTACACGCTGGCAGCCCAGTCTCCAGGGCTGTGATTTCTATTTGTTAACAGAGCATTTATTCTGTTATTTCTGTGACAAAAGACCCCCCCCTTTCTCTGACACAACCTCTTCTGTCAGAGGTGTTAATGAAAGCACTTTTCTGATTACAGTTCTGCCCCATTGGTCAAAAGGGTCTTTCAAACAAGTCTAATCTCCTCCCAACAAGGCGAGGAGAAAATGGGCCAAATTTCTCACAGGGCACATTTTGCCACGGCGAGGGGGGATTGTTTAGTCCTTAGTTCTGTGCAGCTGGGTCCAGCCAGACCCCTTCTGTGGGACAGGTTCCCTGAGCAGACCCTCTGCTGAGGGGGGCAGATGTTGCCTTTCTTGTCTGGTCGAGAGAGGATATTAAACGTTCTCCCTGCTGGCCCTGGGCAGGGCGTGTGCACAGCCAGACAGCAGAGACAGGGCTGGGAACTGAGGGGTGAAAGGATGCTCTGGGGATAAGGGAAATGGGCATCTGCAGGCCTGGAGGGAAACCTGCCAAAACCTTTCTCTAGGAACTGCAGGGATTAGCTAAAAATCAATAACAAAGGCGGTAACCAGGGGAAGGAAAAATACATCTTCGAGGGAAGCCAAATTCTGAGAGAGCTCCGTGAGAGCAATCAGAGCAGGATTTAGTGTAATTGGGAAGCAAATCAGATTGAGGAAAATTGTTTTAAAAGGGACCCTTAGCTGGCAATAAGGACCATATGTTCTTTCTTATCTCTGCAGAAATATCCTACTTTTTTTTTTCAGCGTGTTGACTCCTGTGAGAAGCTGCCACAATCGGGATTTTTAGCATCTACAAATACATTTGTCAGGAAAAGAATAAACTGCTCTAAACGAGCTGCTTCAGTCTTGGTGGCTTTAACCTTGTTTCCCCTCTGCCAGTCTGTGAAGTGTGTCATTGTTTTAATCTGTCACGCACAGGACCGTTGGGATAAATTTCCTGAAGTCGGTGGAACTCAATCCTTTTACACCAGAAGAGATTTTGTCTCATCATCTGTTGCTCCACGTTCTCCCCAGCAGATGGGCTGCAGTGATGATGTCACCTCACCTCCTGGCACTTCAAAACACTCCTTTGGTTTGTGTGTGTGTGTGTGTTTTAACACTTTATCCTTCTAGAAAAGCTCTAAACACTGAAATCTTATCTTGTGCCTGGTGTGCTGCTTAAATCAGGAATATCAGCTGCTGAACAGAGCTCTTTAATTATGTTATTTAACACTACCTAAATAATTGAATCTGGGTAGGGCTTCAGAAACACTGGCTTTTATTTCATCTCTAGGGGCAGGATTTGTACTTACCTTATTTCATTGCAGTGTCCAGGAGCATCACCCTGCAGGCTCTTGTGTGCTTTGATTCAAAACATGAAAAATATAGGAAATATTTCTACCTCCTAATAACAGGTCGCCTTCAAGGCATATTTGTAGCTTCTTAAATGTCTGCTTCCATAGATTAAACAGGAGTGTTGACCCCATAGCTGGTTTGTGTAAGCTTAGATTTTGTTTTGGGAGGCATCTACATGCTGGTAAAAAATCGTCAATTAATCTCACTTAGAAGGGGCACAAGGGAATGTGGGTTTTTATTGTATTTTATACCTGGCTTTGTTCTTAAAGGGCTGTGTGATACTGGGCAACTTGGTACCAAATCTAAAAAAATTCAGCAAGTAGAAGTTTGAAGACAAGCTGTGTCATCTACCCTTGAGTTTTCCCAGATTTCTGTCATGAGCACTCTTTCTTTCCTCCCTCTCTCCAGTATTTCTTTCCAAGGTTATGAAATTAAATCAATTCCAGCCTTTCCATAGCCTGATGCTTCCCATTTTGTCTCTTCCCTGGCTTGCTGTGGCCCATCCTACAAGAGTATCCTTGTCTCCATCTTAACCAGCTCCTCCTAGGAAGTGACTGGTAAGAAAAATGATTCTTCTAAATAAAGATAACAAAGTAGATCTAATCTAAGACAAATGCCTGGTGAGCAGAGAACTGGTCTTGCTGTTGCATTATATCTCATTTTTATTAAACTCTGTATCTTTGTTTTTACAGAAGTATCTCTCTTTAAGCTTTGCATGTCAGCCAGGCTGGGTTAACAGATGCACGGTGACTGTGCCATGTTTTCCTTAATTTCTGGTACCCTCAAATTATTTTCACTGTTCAAAGGTTGAAGAATTTATTTCTATCTTCCTTTTAATGTGCTTTGTGAGATCTAATCCAACTTTACTACTGGGAAGTCTTTTATTATTACACTTCCTTATCACTTTAAAAAGTAACCTAAACTGAGCTCTTTGTCATCATCTTTGTGCCTTCTGAATACCTAATATTTGTTATTTTCAACGGTCTTATTTATTCCATTTTGCTGGGACACTTTTCTGCATTTTTATTCTTTTTTTGTTGAGGATACAAGCTTAAAATAGTTTAGGAATCTTTATTCAAGGACGTTCCAAGCTTTCTACTTCTGACTGTAGGAATTCTTTACATTATATTCTAAACATTAAATGCACTGATTTCCTTCTTACTTGCAGAACTCTGTGTTACGTATCCTTCATTTTATCTGTTCAGATTCCTTAATTTCACATAGGCTTAAATTGCACATAGATCCTAAATTTTCACAGGCCTAAATTGCACATGGATCTTGGAAGCCAAGCAGAATACTACTGATGCAATTTTAGCATCCCAGGGAACCTCAGTGTCTGACAGAGGATACTGCTGCCCCCAAGGATGTACTTTTAAAATATATATTAAAAAAAAAAAAAAAGTCTTAAAAATGGACATTTGTTTCCTGAAAACCATCTTGAAGGTATATTTTCAATCTGGACTTCGCCATTTCCCTGATAGCAGGGAAATTTTATTAAAACATTAAAGCATTGATTAAGAGGTTCTGTTCCTGTTGAAAGGTACTGTTCTTAATTCCTTTTCTTTTTCCCTGGGGGAATTAGTCACACTGCAGTCATTTTCTGAAGAAGAAGGTAAAAACACGGATAAAATCAGTTTGGAATCAAGGATAAGTCATTATTAAAATATATTATACTGTGCCTGTGGGGTTTATTTGTAATAAGAATGTACCACTCTGCCTTAATCTCTCCCATTATAAATTTGGGAACTGATTTTGCCCCGTGTAATTCCCAGCACAGCCTCAGGCTCAGTGGTCAGGAAGTGCTTCTGTGGATGTCATAAATCCTGCCCATTTTTGTCCCACGCAAACCTTTCCCATCCAGCAGCGAGAAGAATTTGGATTAAGATTCCAGGAACATTTCATTTGGCATCTTTTGTCCTGCTCAGGGCACTGCCAGGTGCAGTCCCCCAGGAATACAGGACCTTTTGGACTCTCTTGTTTAGGGAAGCAGGACGTGGTTCTTGGATGACAATCCCGGTAAAACACTCATTTTCTTCTTCCAAGGTCCCCATTCCTTGGGCTGATGCTTCTCTAGGAAGTGCTGTAGAAATAATAAGGTAATTTATACTTCTCCCTTTTTCCATTCTCAGCTCCAAATGGTTTTCCTAATGTGCCAATCCTCACATCTCAGTTGTGAGCTTTACTTCTTACATTGCTTTTTTGTTAATATAAGTGAGCCTGTCAGAGAAATCCTTGGAAGGGATGTGAAAAGAGGGCAAGGTCCTTGCTCTCTATTCCCTGAAATGATGTTGAACAGTCTTTGTCAGTATTAAAACTTACATTTTTTATTTTCTCAGCTCCCCTGGAACCTGCTTTTTATCACCTCTCTGAGTACAAAGCCGTGTCTGTAAGGTGAGATGGATGAAAAAATCAAACTATGGAGACCTCCCTATTTCAGGATAGTGCCTGTCATGGACAGTATTGATATTTTTTTTCCTGTTCCTGGCAATGTTTTTGTGGCAAATTGTGAAAACTCATCTCTTTGTGGTAGATAGGTGGCTTTTCCAGGTGAGTTCACCCAATTTCTATGGACTCTTAAAACATCTGATCTTTCTTATGAGTAGATCTCAGTGAACAAGCTTAAATGAATAAGTTGAAATGAATATTCCTCCCAGCTTTCTCTAAGTCCTTCTTTTTTTTATCTCTTAATTGTAAAACACCACAAGTGCAAACTGGATTAGAGATGCATTTCTCATGTGAATAAATACAGGTACTGTGTTGCAGCAGATGTGAAATTTTGTGAACCAAACCTGCTGCCCAACGAGTAAAGCCCTTGTAGAGTCTGTACCGTGTACTCAGATGTGCACAAGCTGAATTTTAATTTATTTTTTATTAGTTTTTATTATTAATTTTATTATTTATTTATTTATTAATATATTAAGCTGAAACTTATTTATGAGGAAAGTCTTCTACTGACTTTGCCAATAGAAAACCACCTCTGTGGAGAGTCTAAATTATGGTTCCATGAGACACATATTGGATTTTTTTTTTGTTATCATTCTGATGAAAACCTTTATTGATCTTCTGCTATTTCTGTTTGAAATGAAGACAAACTTGAGCACTTTATGCTGAGAAGAATCCAAGAGGAAATAAAGGGCTTGCTTGAAAATCCAAATGAGAGAAAGGTAAAGCCAAAAGTTTTTGCCATTAGACTAATTGCAGTGGAATTGTGGTTGGTGAATGTGCCCTGTGCCTTTCCCAGAAATAGCAGGCAGGGGCAGGTGCTGACATGCTGAAAAGTGTAATTCTGTTCCTCTCAACCTGCTGTTTCTGACTTTGACTGGTGCAAAATGAGATTTCTACAGGCTCCATAACACCAAGGTAAATTTGAGGCTGTTTGTTCGTCACGAGGAACGAGACTGTGTAAGAATTCACCTGAATTCTCTTGGTGCTTATTGATTTTATTTTGGTTTGCTTCCTGGGCCCTTCTTCCTCTGCCACAAAAATCCAAGTGTTCCTCTCGTTTTCTCTTCAAAAATTAAGAGTTTTAAACCATGCAGCTTCCAAGCCTGCTTTCCTATATATAAAAGAAAATCAAAAATCATTGATTTTTTTGTTACTCTGCAAATGCTTCTTAGAGAAACTTACTGCCTATGTGGGTAAGTATAAAACTGACTGTTTAGAAGTTTTATTTTTGATAGCTCTAAAGAGAATAAACTGGAGAACAAATCCAAGTTAGTTACCCACTGCAAAAATGCTCCTTTTTAATTCTTTTTGAGATGAGGTGAAGGGTTAGGAACCTACAGTGTTGATGGTATGGATTATGTCTGCTTGGTGTTGGGGGTTGCTTTATAATAGATTTTTAAATACAGCTGTTTGTCAGTGTTTTCACTTCTTGCTGACATCAGTGGTAACAAAAAGCTCAGAGTTCATTTTTTGGTCTGCTGGCAAAACTGATGACTTGGAATAATCCACTAAGTTTGTCTCGTACTGTAAATCCCACTTTAATAAAACATTTTTTCATGGAATAGGGGAAATAAAAGTTAGATGTTCCTTCATGGAATGTTTGTGAGCTTTTACACCATTAAGAAAATATTTTCTCCACGACACCAAGTGAGTCTTTCTGCACAGTTGGTGTGAGTTTTACATTTAAAAAGCTCTTTACTCCTTGGACCAGCTTCCCCTTTGTGGTTGGGAGGCATCTTTTGGTTGGTTTGATCCAAAAGAAATCTTGGTATCATCTACTTTAAGCTTTGTCTACCGTCCCTCTGCTCATTGCTGAGGAAATTCATAACTTTTACATGTCTTCTCTTTCTCCAGTAGCTGTTGGATGCATTCTTGAGGAGGAAAGCACAGCAGAAGGGAGCATTTAAAATCCTGAAACGCTCTAAATGCCTGGCAGTCCGACAATATCAATTATAGATGCCTCTGTGTGTTTAGAAACTCAGTAAAACTCTTCCATTTCTCAGTGATCCAGAGGAACAGCTTGTTCTGTAAAAGGCATTTTCTAACTATAGGCAGGTATCAATTCCTTTATTGACTGGATTGATTCCTTCCTCTGCTAATGCAGCTGCACCTCCTGCTGAGGTGACTCTGACCTATAACTTCACATCTGTGCTGCAGGGGGTGAAGAAAACTTGGTTTTCCCCAGTGCTGTCAGTGTTGTTTCCATCATCCTAAAAAAAGTTCCCTGATTTCTTCACTTGCTCAGCACACCACTCCACATTCTCTTTTTTCCATGGACCATATTGTGAGGACGGAGGCAGTCACTCGCTCCTGGATACTCACCAAGGAGTTATTTCTGTCTCTGACCACAAATTGAATTTGTTCAGAGGCTGATGAGCTTTTATATCTCTGTGGTGACCCACACACTGGGATGAGCTCCGGGCTCTCCCTGCCTAGGAATCGTTTCCAGAAGTGCCAGTGAGATTAAGCAGGTGGGAGGAACTCAAGTGCAGGTGAATTCCAGTCTTTACACTCACTCCACCCACTCCCTTAAGGAGCAAAGTCAAGTCAGCCTTGGAGTTTTAAACACTGACTTACAACTTCTTGTTTTAAAGGAATCAGAGGTCGGGAGATACTTGTAAATTGCCCCAGCAGGAAGATGCAGCATCACAGTCTTGAGATGATACAGGAAAGGAGTGTTTTCTTGGCCAGAATATTTCCCTGCAGTGCTGTGGAATAGGGAAGTTGGGGAGGAATCCTAATGGAGAGACAGCAAGTAGTGAAGAGCTTCAGTCTCCAGTGGCTGCAGCTGGGAGATGGAGAGAGCCCTGAGCATGAAACTGCTGCATGCCTGGAGGAAGATGGA